TTTTAGCGGTAAAACGATTTTTTAAGTATTGCCTCTCCATCTACTACAATAAAAATTATGTAATTATTTACCTCTTGAAGTTTCTTTTATGAAACACAACGTTGTCTGATTTATTATCTCACGGTTGATTTCTAAAAGGTCTTGTTAAAGATTTATAGTGTTAAAAGGGTGATGAATAGAAACCATATTTTTCTATGGAAAAAGTCGGTAAGTTCTTTAGCAATTTAAAATACGAGGAGATAAAAGAGTGACTTAAAATCTGATTCTAGATAAACGGTTTTACTAGTAGACGTGAGAATACAATAGAAGAAGCTATGCAAAGTGAATATATAAAGGGCGGTAGCTCTTTCAGAATAATAGAATTCTAATGATGTAAAAGGAGCTTGGATCTAAGGTAGTTTGAAACAATAAACAGTTGAGTATATAAAAATGGTAATAGCATTTATTGCCACGTAATATATATTATTATGGCAAGGAAAAAGTAGGAATTTTAAATTATATTATTTTAAATCAAAAATCTCACCTATAATTTAGTTTGTCACAGGTTGTACTTTCATGGCTCAGTATTTTCATTTTTTTATGTGCAAGTTTGAGGACCAAAACTAATAATAAAAAAACAGGTGTGGCAGTCCAGTGGGACTGCCGGTCGAAGTTATACTTTTATACACGCGTTCGCCGTTACAAATTTATATAGGAGTCAATCTGCACAATCATTACATATGTAATGCTATAGGTACGAGAGAACACAAAGAGAAAAAGAATTAGGTATATAGATATACGGTGCATCTTACTTACTTACTTACTCCTTGGCGTTACGACCCTTCGTGGGTTTTAGCCGACTCGACAACATGCCTCCACTGTTTTCGGTCTTGAGCAACCTCCATCCAATTCTCCACGCCCATAGTGCTTAGGTCTTGTGCTATATTATCTAGCCACCGGAGACGAGGGCGTCCGCGTGGTCTCCTTCCAGTTGGGACTTCCCACACCAGTCTTACTGTTCGTTCATCAGAATGCCTTCTGAGGTGTCCTGCCCATTGAAGTCTTGTGGACTTTATTTCTTTTATGATGTTGGCGTCTGGGTAAAGTTCTTCGAGCTCTTTGTGAGTTCTTATCCTATATTGTTTTGATGTTTTATTCAGCACAGGACGAAAGATCTTCCTTAGGAATTTTTTTCCATACACATAGTCCTCTTCGTTTGCCTTTGTTACCGTCCACGTTTCGCTTCCATACATCACAATGTGTCGTATGATTGTTTTATAAACCTGTATCTTCGTACGTCTTGTTAGGTGTATCGATTTCGTAAGGTTTTGGAGAGCAAAAAGACATCTACTGCCGGCCTGAATCCTGTTATTCATTTCTTGTGATCCGTTATTGTCTTCAGTTATTGTTGTTTCAAGATACTTGAATTTTCTAATGCGCTCAAAGTTAAAGTCATCAATGTTGCTTTTCTGACTGATTCTGTCTCTGCTTTAGCTATTGCGGGTCATATTATACCGTTATTGTTACATTTATTTTTGATTGATTCGACATACTTTACAGAATAATCGTTTTTTGTAATTTTGTTTTGTCCGGTCATTTTGAGTAGATGTGTTTATTGTTTGAGTGACTTTTCTTTGAGCTGATGAGTATAGTTGTGGTTTGTCCTTTGCCCCTTGTCCTAAGCCATTTCATTGTTTCTTTCTAGGCCCTCTTTGACAGCGTTGTTATGCCACGGGTTAGTAGGAGATTGTGAAAGAAAAGTAGTCCCCAGTGTCCCATTTGTTCCCTAATAAACCCTCTCTGACGGCGTTTTGGTAATGCCATGGGTTAATAGGAGATTGTGTTTCCCTGAGTCCCTTTTGTGTTTCCTGTTTATTTTTATTTTGTTTGTACCAAGAGATTATGTTAGTACCCCTTTTGTTTCTTTTTTCTGTAGTTGCCCCAATCCAACCGCCGTATCTTTTACTTATCCACGACCTCAGCTCTCCTAACAAACCCTGAGTTCGCACAAGTAGCGTTTATTTTGCTTAACCTATCTCAGCCCCCATAGTAATACCCCATGTGGTAGGCAAAATATTATCGTTACAATTTTGGCGCCCAACGTGGCTACTATTTTTTTAGATTTTTGATCCCTTTTCTCCTAGCCATATATCTTTTTCAATTCTTCTCTAGTTTTTTGCCATTTTTATGAAACCCCGTCTTGCAGATAGTGCCCCGGTGTCCCACAAACAGTTTGTTTATCTATTTGTATTGATATATGTATTTTGTATCAACATATGTATTGTTGTTTTTTCTATGTATTCTATACTATAACTGTAATAAAATATGTATTATTGTATATCAACATATGTATTTATTGTATATTGACATATGACAACATTAAAACAACTAGTAAAAACTAGATTTTTTGATTTTTACTTTTTGGTTTAATAATTCGTTTAAATCTAGTGTACGGGCGAAAAAAAAGGTATCCTTAAAAATAGTGTTGTTACCAGTGTATATATGTACTATCAACTTTTTTTAATCCCTTTAGAAGGATCATCAGATATGTTTATTATATTTTGGTAATTGCATTTTTTGTCTGAATTTAGAAACATTTGATGGTCTCTTTTTTTCTGTTTATAATAATCGCGCAACTCTGAAAATGTCTTAGATAATGAATATTAAATTTTCAGTTGATAACATGAATGTCTCACCTCATTATTAACCCATTTATTACAATTATGTTTAGATTTTTTATTTGCAATACTATTTTTAAATTACTATTCTCATTGATCTTAGGAAATTACTACCTTTTCTGAAACTGTAAAGTGATTTTGTTCTCGCTTTAACATTTTTTTTCTACAAACGTGGTATGTGTAAATTAAGAACCTCAAGTACTTTAAAAATCTCTAAAAATATTAAGGGTGTCATTTAAATTAAATAAGTTGAGGGTATTTCCGATAAAACCATATGTATACTTCAGGTGCGTTATGTGCCAGTGTAGATGCACGCAAACTTTTATAAATTACGTTGTATATATATATACATATATTTTTCTTCAAACGTCAAATAATGATGACATGACTTATCTAACTTGATCCTGTCAAAGTTTGATGTCTCCGCCGGCAGCAGTTTTTTTTCCCATTTCTTTACGGCGGAGGGAAAATGTTGTCATGGCAACAATGTGAAACATGTCATAAAGCAACAATACAAATGTCATTAACAACAATTAAACATCATTTTTATTTATAGTAATATTAAAAGTACAATTAGTTAATGAGACATTTTCAAAATTGAAACCGTGCAAAAATGTTCCCGACTCTTGATACGCATTGGTAATTGTTGATGATACTGATGGTCGAGAACAACTTTCAGCAATCATTTCCCCAAATCATGAGGGTTTAAAATTTTTTGAGCATTATCGTTCTTATTTCTTATTGAATCCTCTATATATCCTTCGGCAACCGTGCTTGATTTCCAGCCCCCATGTCGTTTGAGGCATTCTAGATTTCCGCCTCCATCAATTAAAAGTGTTGCTGAAGTTCGTCGTAAAGAGTGACCCGTGTATGCGCTTGCATCGTTTAAATTTAAATAACTAGCTACTTTTTGGGCTACTGCGCTGATCGAATGTATTCCCATGACGCTTCGGTAACACTTTTCTTTTTGGTACTTGATAAAAAATCGGTTTTCTGTGAAATTTTCAGGCCGCAGTGATGCATACTTTTTATACAGTTTAATGTAGTTTTGACCAATTATCGTAAAAGATCTAATTTGTAGTATTTTACTGTCTGGTATTTTGATAATTATTACATTTTCTTTATCCTCAATGTCCACAGTCTTCATTTTTACCATTTCGTCGCATCGACAGGCGCCAGTAACCCCAATTAACAAAACAATCTGAAATATTTTTATAATTTAGTAGAGTATACACATGCTTTGCAATATAATTTTTTTTACCTTCATCCTAAATACAACTTATCTGGCGCTTCAAACAAAAATTTATCAAACTCGTCTTTAGTGGAAACTTTAGACTTCTTTGCAGTACATCCTTCGCTTGTTTTTTTCAGAAAGGCACGTAACTTTAAAAATTTGCTTATATCCACATTTTTTCTAATAACTAACTCGGATTTTATCATAGAGTATCGTGACCACATTGTAGAAGATTTCCATTTATTTTCATTTTCCATTATATTAAAATATGCCAGTAAAACGTCTTCGGTAACTTGCTGTACTCCTCTTGTATCGCACCACTCTTGGCACTGCTTGTACGCTAACCGATACTTTATTCCGGACTTGGAGCACCCCAAACGTGCTACTGCATCATTAGCCGCGGACTCAATTTCGTTTAGGTTTTCCATTTTCGCACTAAATTTGCGCTTGCGGTTGCAACAACAATAAGCTGTCTTTAATAATTGCAAACAACTGTCAAACAACTGTAACCAGGGAGACGCAAATCCCACCGACGACTTAATTATTTTAATTTCTAACATCTAGACGACTTTGATAGTTGTCACAGTTAATTTCGAGAAAAAATAGCGTATGAATTGTACTATTTATGGTTGAAAATTGGGTAAATTTCAAGGAAACCGGGGAAACGCTATTTTTGCAATTTTTTGGGACTATATTTTTGTAATTTAAGGTAATAAAACTAAAGAAATTGCTAAAAAATTGCTAAAAAATAATAATAATACATTTTGTTTGTTATAAACAAATACAACTGAACGTTACTAAGAACAAATTATTTATAAAGAGCCACCTAAAATTTTTGGAATAGTCCAAGGGGTGGATTAGAATGTTGTCAAGTTTAAATATTTTTATAAATATTATTCATAATACTAAAGAATTTATTACTTAACTGATTATAAAATTCAAATTATAATAATAACAAAAAATACGTTACGGGGCTTTGAAGGCATTGTATATCATGTTCGAAACCTTCAGAAAACACCCTTGCAAAATCCTCGTTTATTATTATTGACCGTGTAATTCCCGCTGGTATGAGATATTAATTATGACCCATCATTTTCCATTTTTTTCAGGAAACTCCAATCGAAAGCGGCCATCATAGCACAAGACTCGAACGAGAGTTTATTAGAAATTCCTCTACAAGAGCTGCAGCGTCGGCATTCAGAGGCCAGGTTAGGATCCGGCAGCGGTGGTGGGGGAATGGGGGGCCTCAGCGTCGGGGGCTTGGGGAGCGGGCTGGCGCCCCCACGGAGTCCAGAGCTACGGAGGCATTCGGACGTGTCTCCGGCTTCGCTCAAAGAGCTTGAAAAAGTAGGTGACACGTTTTTAGTGCGTTTTCTCTTTTTCTGTATATAGTTAAGAGGCTTATTATGTTTCATCGGAAGGTCAGGCGGTGACAGAAATACAAAATAATTTGATTGTGATTTAGATTTTGGTTTTATTTCATCCATAACATTATACATTAAAGTGCTTCATTCTAAAATTTATGTTCTTTGAGTTTACGTAAGAATTGTGTTCATAAAATTATTTGAATAACTCAAGCCATAACTTATACAATTATAAGAGGAATTTTTATGTTTATATGTTTTTGTCACTTTGTCGCTCCTGTCATTTTTGGAAATATTTTAAAAAATGCAAAAAGTAATACGAGTATTTGGAGACTTTAATTGAATTTAAAGAGCATTTAAGATGTTTTGAATACATTTAACGTACTAAGTAACATACTGTCTAAAACCAAATCTATCAATACATTAGAGAGATAAAAGACTACATCTATAAAGTACCCTGTAAAGAGACACCGCAAGACCACAGTAGTGTTTCTATGCCGGTTCTACCCCAATAATTTATAATTATCCCCTAGATGGCGCTATTTTAATTTAAATTTTATTTTTTCTTACCCTTGAATCAAGTGTCAGGTAAATGAGCTTGAAACATACATTAAAAACAGAGACTTCGATCAATCAGAGATACCAAAACATGCTTTGAAGATGAAAAACGTAAGAATCAAATTAGCAGCTCTGATCCTACTTATCGAAGAAAAATGTTTGGTAACCCATCAGTAGAATGTAGCAGGTTTTAGTTCTCCATACTAAAAGAAGAAGTAAGCAAAAATAATACATAAAACAGCCAGAGTCTGATATTATCCTGAGAGTAAAATATCACTCCTAGAATTTTTAACTGGAAGCATGGCTGGCTATTTACTTATAAGATCAAGGCCAAAGTAAGCCACAGGTTAAGTTTAAAAAGCAAAACCGCTTAACAAACTTTTGGTTATAATAATAGTCACTAATTTTTTAAATAATCTTTTTTGAAAATAATTTTTTAAGTGTAAGTCGAAACATTAAACTTCAGTTAAAAATGTAATAGTCCGGGATTCCAGGCCCATTTTTACCCTTTATTACTAACAAGCACATTTTGATTTTGATAAGATGTTTAAATTTTACTCTTACAACAATTTGCATTTTTAGTAACTTACAGGGATAGAAGGGATGAAATATGTTGATTTAACAATTCTCAAACATTTATTATTTACGGGGTAATTCTTAACATCTCTCTTTAATCTTGACCCCCCAGGGGGAGTGTAGTGGTCGACGTGCTGTCGTGTATTGTCCGTCTCCAGAGATCTCTGTCTCTGGTCATTTCTTTTAATTCATGCATAGGTCTTTGGCATATTCCTGTAATTTGATCTATCCATCTTGTTGGGGATCTTCCTCGTGATCTTCGGCCTTCTACCTTTCCTTGTATTATGAGTCTTTCCATGTTTTCTGTGTTTGCTCTCATAACATGCCCAAAATATTTTAATTGTTGGAGATGGACTTTACTAGAGAGTCGTTGGCTAACTTTTAGCTCTCTTAAAATTGAATTATTTGTTCTACGGTCGGTCCAAGGAATTCGTAACATTCGTCTCCAACAGAACATTTTAGTGGCGTCTATCTTTCTTCTCTCCGATTGTCTCAGAGTCCAAGATTCACATCCGTAGGTCAGTATTGGTAATATTAAGCAGTTGATCAATCTCATCTTTACCGCTCTTGAAATTTGACAGTCCTTCCATATTTTGGTCATTTTTGGTGTGGCAATTTTTGCTAGATCACATCTACGTTTAATCTCCTCTTGTAATGACCCTGTGTTTGTGATTAATGATCCCAGATATAAGTATGAGCTCACAACCTCGAACCGGTCAATTGTGGTTATGTGTGGATGATTGTTGTGTAGTCTATCCACTATCATGATCTTTGTCTTTGATATGTTTAATTGCAGACCAAATATTTGACTTTCGTTTTCGATCAGTCGTATAAGTTCCGTCAGCTCCGCTTGACTATTTGCAAGAAGGGCTGTGTCATCTGCGAAACGTAGGTTGTTTAGTTTATGACCATTTATTGAGATGCCCTTTTCCCATCCTTCAAGTGCTCTTCGCATATTATACTCCCCATATATGTTAAATAATTGTGGAGATAGTATATATCCTTGTCTGACACCCCGTTCTGGATGAAACTCGTTCGATAGTATGTCAAGTACTTTAATTGATCCAGTAGTGTGTTCATATAGTTCAGTTATAAGCGTAATTAGATGTTGTGGTACGCCTACTTCTTTTAGTATTCGCCATAAGTGTCTCCACTTGACCCTGTCGAACGCTTTATGGTAATCTATAAAACAGATGTATAGTGGGATGTTGAATTCCCTAGATTTCTCGATTATCTGTCTTATATTCAGCAGGCGTTCTCGAGTGCCTCTACCTTATTCTTAACATAATTATCCGAAAAAATATTTGCCCTTGAAAATGCAAAGTTTTATAAAAGAGTCACCTATTTCCAACACGTATAAATAACGAGATCATGAAAAATAATTATTAACCACCTAATTTTTTTCTGTTTGTAAGCTAATATTTATAGAATTTAACAAACACATTGTCTTACAAATAGTGTGGATGTTATCTTGGTCGTACGTTCAAAAGTTGTCAATACCACAAGACTATGTATTTTATTATTAACTGTAAGACAAATGTATCAAGCTGCTAGCATTTGAATTTCATGACCTAAGTATTTATGAAGTTATCCTTTTTCGTAGCAGTCGACTTTTGGATTTTCGCTTGGTAACTGCATTGTGTCTTTTTAAAATTTATGTTCAAACCCACTTTATTATAGGCGACATCTAACTCAGTAAGCATAGTTTAATTTTTTCTATCTACCTGGGAGAAAATTTCGCCGTCGACATTGATTCCTTCTGCTTCTTAAATAAAAAATATAAACTAAAAATATAGTAAATTAAAGGACAAATAATGTTATCCAAATATATGTTTATTTAATGAGATAGGCAAAAATACACACACTAAATTAACTACATACTAAACAAAAAAGCAACAACTGATTTAAACATAATACAAATCAGAGACACCGTAAATGAAAAGTGAAGAGGAGTTCATTATAAATTTATAGGAGAGTTACGAGGAGTTATATAAGAGGCAAGAAAGATTGTAAAGTTTAAATAATAATAAAAGATATTAATAATGGAACTATGTAGTGTCAGACGGAATATTTGAGCAAAAACTATTAAAAATAATATAAAAATAAAAGTACGAGATGTTATAAGGGTGTCCCAAAATTTATGTAATGTTTTAATTAAATCGAAAACACTCTTTTCTATTAAGATTGTACTTTTTTTGTTTAATTAGAAAGTAGAATAGAAACATGTATAGAATAGAACATTAGGAAAATTACCTTCATGGCTTTGCTGTTACATACGCATTCTTTTGTCGAAATTTTCCATGACCATTTTGCATAAATATGGCTGAATTTGGTGGATGAAGTGTTAAATTTTCTCTATCATGGCACAGGTGGGCTTGGGCTTATTGGCATCGACTTCAAATTACCCCATAAAAAAATCCAATGGTATTAAATCAGATAATCTAGTCGGCCAAGACTAGAAGACATTTATAAGAAACTAGAATGAAACAACAAGGGTATCAACGTTGACGGATTATACTTAAACCACTTGAAATTCGCAAATGACATAGTTTTAATAGCCGATAATACAAAAGAATTAAATAAAATGTTACAACAATTAAATGTAGTTTCAGGAGAAGTAGGCTTAAAAATGAACTACCGTAAAACAAATATACTGAGCCGAGACCAAACAAATATAACAATACAAAATCATACCATAGAAAATGTTGAACAGTATGTATATTTAGGTCATGTCATCAAACTAGGAAAACCAAATCAAGATGCTAAAATTAAAAGAAGAACACAACTGGCATGGGGCGCTTTTAGCAAACTAGCATATATCTTGAAAAACACCTCCATTCCTGTAAACTTATAGAAAAAGGTGTATAACACATGCATACTACCAGTTCGTATCTACGGCTTGGAAACAAGAGCCTTACCAAAAAATTAGAAACAACGCAAAGAGCAATATAACAAACCATGCTTGGGATATCACTGTCAATGTACAAGACGTAGAACGAAGATAAGGGATATTGTGGAAGAAATTACAAAAATGAAATGGCACTGGGCAGGTCACGTAGCCCTAAATAATGACAGGTGGACACGGAGAATTCTAGAATGGAGACCAAGGACGACAATAAGAAGCATGGGAAGACCTTAAAAAAGGATGGATGACATAAAAGCAGTGGCAGAAAATAGATTAGATTGGCGCAAGATAGAGAAAGATGGAAGCAATTGGTAAAGATAGAGACCTACATTCAGGAGTGGATGGAAAATGGTTGACAAAGAAGAGTCAGCCAATTCTGATGATCGAAACGAGAGAGCATACGACCAAAAAATGTCTCATGCAGTAATTAAATTGTTTCACTGACCGTAGGCATGTGGCAGTGTCTTGTTGCAACAACATGTCGTCCACATCAATATTTAGGCACAAAGAACTTTAATATCATGTTGCAATACCGAACACCACTAACAGTCACTACTGGTCCAGCCTCATATTAAAAAAAGTATGGGCCAATGATACCTCTAGTCCAAAATATGCATCAATTAGTGACAAATTGTGGATGTTTTTTTTTCAACAGTCATAGGTGTGTTCTCAGAACCCTAAATGGAGCACTTTTGAGGAACAACTAAGCCATTAAGGTGAAAATATACTTCATAGCTCAGGAGAATTTTGCTCAAAAAGCACCGTGAAATTTGCAGTTTTTATCAACGGCGTCGAGTTGATTTTCCTAGATGTTCACCAACACGGCTTGACTTTAGACGACTATTCGTTTGTGTATCAACAATTGATTCAGTCTGCCTTGATTTTTTTAATTACTTTCTTCACAGTTGACGAAGTCAAATCAATTTTTTGACCATATTTTGTAT